TTTTTTCTTGCTTTCCTGACTACCCCCTGAACCCCCACCCCCCAAAACCCCCCAAAACACCCAGCCCAACCCATGGGAAACAAAAAAAATTGAAAAAATAAAACATTTTGGCCCGAACTGGGCCTGGGCCCGGCCGGGCCGGGTCACCAATACACATACCTGAGCCCGCCCCTGCTTTACCGGACCGAACCGGGTCCAAGCCCGGTACTAGACCGAAGGATCGGCCCGGTCCCGGGCCCGCACAGTAACGGGCCGGGCCGGACGGCCGGAACCGGGCCCAGGCCTATGTAATCAGGTAGATAATCAAAATTAACTAACTGACTAGGCATGGAAACAATGGCTTTTGCCTTAGCATGAGTTGCTTGATTTGTTGATCTTCTACACCAATTGATTAGTGTGTTATCATTACCACTCAAAAGCCTCCTGGTTTCTTCAAAAACAACCCTGAGTTGTGAATTGCTCTTCTCTCCTGGCTGAAATGGTACTCCGTATAATAAAACATTTATTGTATTTTTATATGCTTTGTATATGTATTGAAATTACTAACAAGATTGTATATACTCTTTTCATATCGATACAAAACTCATTCGCTCAAGTACGAGTGGATCCGTTTCAGTCCAGACCGGCCATTCCTTGGGAAAAAGTATAGGGAACCTGGATTGGGCTTCTTTATACAGGTTCCGGTTGACCATGTGTTCTCGATTCTGGTCTGGTCTCTCATTTGTAAATTTAAATAAATAAATTACATTTTATTTTTTTTAAAAAAATGGTGAAATAGACCCTTCTGGTATTATAAAAACATCACAGTACTAAGGAAAGTATCACATAAACATGCCAACTATTAAAAAAGGATTAAATAAGCCAAATTAACGGAACATGACCCTTTTTAACCGGTTATGTTGATGTCTTTTTCTTTTTTTCTTTTCTTTCCCTTCTCCTTTTTGTTTCCCTTTCTTCCTCTCATTTTCTTCGATCTTCTTCTTCGATCTCATTTGCAGATTGTATTTGTTTCTTTTACCTTTTTTCTTTCTCCTTTTTCTTTCTCGCCGGTTGTTACTGCCCCCATGAGGCTGAACTTCTTCCGGTCTTTTTCACCCTTCTTAGTTTTTTCTATTTTCCTTTTGTTCTTTTCTTCTTTATCTTTTCTTTTTATCTTCTATCTTCCTCGCGTCCAGGGGCGGAGCCAAGGGGGGTCAGGGTGGTCAGCCGACCCCGCTGAAAGTTCAAGAATGTAGAGCTCTGAAATACCTTCGATTTGATATATTATGAGTCCCGTAACTCATTACAAGTAAAAAGTTATGGCTTCTGGAAAAATCAGCACCATCTTACCTTGAAATAAGCAAAATTTGATGTGTGTCGTTGATTCTATACTTAAATTTAAAAATAAAACACCTTATTCAGTCATTAGTTGTGTGATCATTATGATACATTACATATATATCAATACATTAACCGAAAAATGCTCATTAAATTACCATTTATCTCAGCTACATATGAGACATTTCACTCAAGTATTCTATAACAACTATCCATCATTTTGATATTGTATATAATTAAATTCCGACCCCCCTCATACATTTTTCTGGTTCCGCCCCTGCTCGCGTCCCCTAGTTGCCCAGCTCGTACGCCCTGTCACATTTCTACTTTTCCTTCTTATTTTTATATTTCTCGTTTTCCTTTCCTATGTACTTGTTTAGGCCCTTGTTGATTATTTGTCACATAAGTTAAATTATTTGGAGTATGTGATATGTAGCGCTTGCAAGTCCAGGACATATCGGCATATGGCCCAGACTTTTTTGTTGACTTATTAGTTTTTATATTACGGAGCTAATGTATACCAGTAGTACTAACTTACTTCCTCCGTTCTTTATTATCTGTCTCGCATTCCATTTTGGGACGTTTTTTATTATTTGTCTCTTTTTCTATTTTAGGAAAGTTTTTGATAAAATACACCCACTTTTTTTACTTTTACCCCTCTTACTTTTTACAAACTACTTTCTCTTTCCTACTTTATCATAACTTTACTCTACTTAATATACTTTCTTTCCTACTTTATCATCACTTTATCACCACTTTACTCTTTTTAATAGGGGTGAACAAAAAAACCGAAAAACCGAAACCGACCGACAAACCGACCGAAACCGAACCGACCAAAACCGAAACCGACTCAAACCGAAACCGACTCAAACCGAACAAACATTGGCGGTTCGGTTTACGGTTTCACCTTTGGGGTTAAAAAACCGACTGAACCGAAACCGACCGACAAAAACCGACAAAAACGTGCTAAAACTAACCGAAACCGACACGAACCGACCGATATTAACCGAACTGAAACCGAACCGAAACCGACTCAAGTAGTGCGGTTCGGTTTACGGTTTCAGCTTTTCCGGAAAAAACCCGACCAAACCGAACCGACCAAACCGAAAACCGACTAAACCGAACCGACGAACACCCCTACTTTTTAATATATTCTCTTTCCTACTGTATCATTTACCCTACACACTCTACATTTACCCTACTATTTTTCTATTAAAACCCGTGCCCAAGGCTAGCGGAACAGATAATAAAGAACGGAGGGAGTATTTCATAGTCTCATAGTCATTATTCATATACTTGTATATGTATACATGTAAGCAAATGTATATTTTTAGCGGATAAATGAGAATAGAAGACTCGCGTTGGTTTTGATATTCTATCTATACTATATATTCCCTCCGTCCACTAACAATGGTACAATAGGGAGTGACACATACCAATAAAAGTGGGCTTATGTGGTTGATATTGAAATGATAAAGTAAGAATAATGTAAGAATGATTTGTAAGCACACAAATTTTACTAGATGTGGTATGAAACAATCTTAGTGGGACGGTCTGAAAAGGAAAAATGAGACAATCTTAACGGGACGGGGGAGTAATTATATATCTAAAATTAAGTCCATGCAAGTGCTAGTGTTAATGCATGTATCCCTCGACCGAATAAGAGCCACCCGTAAACGATTAATTGAACGTTCTCACTTGAAGAAAAGGGCGGAGATCTACCACCGGAGAAGCTGGCACAAAGAAGGCGGCAGATGAAATGGGTATATGATGGTGAAATAAGTGCCACTATGGCTTGGGAACATCTTCCAAGTTAAATCGGTGAGAGTATGAGGGCACATGGTAAACAAACTAGTGTGGCAAATTAGTGTGTGGTCGGGGTTTTTCATATCAATCTCTTACTATACTACATACTCCATATAAGACTTGCATGAAGCATTTAGGTTTCATTTCGGCTTTTTAGGCATTTAGCTACAGATCGAGATTTGTGCACATCTCTCGGGGGGTCACTGATCTGAGATGGTAATCAAAGGGGAAAGAATAACAAAAGAAAAATTTGAAAATAAGGGCGAAGAATAAGAGGGAGTGGAAATGATAGGAAGACAGAGAAAGAAAAAGGAGCAAAACGGTGAAGGAAAAAAGGAAAAGGAAAAAGAAAAAGTTATCAACTCCAACCGGTTAAAGAAAGTCATGTTGTGGTAATTTGGTTGATGTGATCTTTTCTTTAGAGTTGACACGTTATATGATCCTTTTTAGTACATGGGTCTACGTGATATTCTTAGTTCTTACAATAGTAGAAGGTATTTGATCATTTTCTCAAATTTTAATGGATTGCGCTTTTGTTGAAGTTGCTTTTGTATTTTCTTTATAATGATAGAGAAATCAAAGCCAACGTAGTTTTTATTTTATTACGATAAATTTAGTAGAAAAAATAGTAATCTAAATAAAATCTTTTTTTAATAATGTGGTTACCCGCGGAGATTTGGGAAAGCTGCTCCCCATTTCATCCGGCTACAATTCGGTAAAGAAAATCCCCAACGAGGAGTTGGATATACATGACCCCCGTTCGTCTGGTTGCCATCTCAGTCCAAGTGTCATTATTTCATCATTTGTTTATTTTCAAATCAATCAATTGCAATGTTCTAATTGATTCATCTTAACAAGATATAAGTAAAAATTTATTGATTTGACATTAAGTGCCTGTTTGACAGGCATAAGTCCTCGTCTTCTAGCTTTTGTATTATTTAAAAAGTCTTTAAAAGTTTCTAGTTGTATGTTTGACATGCCAATTTTCAAGAGCTTTTATAAAAATAAATGAGATGCTACAGTGGGTAACATCTTAAATAAGTCTGTAGCTTTTAGCATTAATTAGTTCCAATAGCTTGTATACCAAACATAGCTAAATCAAACAGTCAAATTTTTATTAAGCAGCTATCACCTTTTTCTTGTAAGATCTTCTCATTCACTAAAAGCTAACAGTTACCAAAAAACTTACAAAAGTATCTTTTCAGCTAGTTGTGCCAAACATACCCTAATATTGCAATAATAATGCCTTATGTCATGGTACTTCTTGACATTATTTAAACAAGGCCAATGAAAAACAGTTCACGGTACTTTCTAGGCAAGAACCTGGAGTCCGAGTCAAAATCTTGACAAAAAAACATCTGAAATTGAAATTAAGTCTACACGTATGAATGTACCTACATGTTCAAGATAAGCATAATGATGCATCAATACTAAGGTATAGGATGGTTTTGAGATTTAGGATGTTTTTATTTGGACTGTAATTTGCTGGTCTGGTTTGTTTAAGTCTGATCTGATCTAATCTAATTTGTTTAAGTCTGGTATGGTTAAAATCTGGTAAATGTTTGGTCTCTGTGTATTTTATAAATACGAAAGTCAAGCCTGGTTTGATCTGTTTAAGTGTGGTCATCTGCTCTGATCTGTTTAAGTTCGATCTGGTCTGGGACTGAAAGTCTGAAAAAAGTCCAAGCAAAAACATCCTTACCCAAGGTGGCCATGGCCGCAAAAGCAAGCCACTAGCTGACTAGCCAAGGGCCCAAGGTCAAGCACCCAGGACTCAGTTCGGTTTTGCAATGAGAAACCCTCGTGAAGTAATAAACAAGACTGGAACCGGATAAAATGTTTCACAATTCACATATATTGCATAATGGTGTGTCCCAAAATCAAGTAACACGGTAACACCCAATATATTACGTAGTACGTAGTATTAAATATATAGATATAAATATGTAATATCTTTTTCATCTTCAAACATTTTGTTACATAACAATGGCCACACAAAAAAGATGATACAGATCTCCCATAGAAACCCTTTTGACACTACACAACGGATGATGCCCTATGGCCTAGACTGCTAGACACGCACACTGTATGGCACATTAAGTACAACTCACTCTTTTCTCAATATACATAACCATCCCGAGAAGGGATTCATTGAAACTACAACAATATAGAAATGCAAATGCGTGCAGCATGGCTAAGGCACTCCTACTTATTGATGTGTGAGAAGGGAAGCCGGGGGATGAGAGACTGTTTTGGTTCCTTCATTTTAAAAGAATCATATGAATGATTTTCCCGAAACTCTTCGAGAAGAACTTCCATTGGCATTGCCCGCAGTGATTCAATATTGCCCTTGCTTGGAACATCAGACTCACTCCTTACTGGGGTATTCCCAGTAGGCTCATAATCCTGAGACAACATTTCAGGCATTAGCGACAAAAAGTAGTGTATTAATAAAATACGAAGTATATAACTCCCTCCGTCCCCATATAATTGTCCCATTTTTTCATTTTTGAATGTCCCTCTATTATTGTCTCAATGTCTCATACCATATTTGATAACATTTGTGTGGCTCTAATTCATTCTTACTTTATTCCCACTTTATTAACTCAATATCAACCACATAATTCTACTTTTCTTAAAAACTACACCACTCTCTTCCGTCCAAATGTTAGGACTAATAATTCTACTTTATTAGTCGTAATGGCGATATAATAACATGTTATTTGGTAATTCCGCATACCATGTATTTCTGTTGGAATGTTTCACCTGTCTTCTTCTCAATAGAGGTGCACTGTGTAGAGTAACCTTTCTGGAGTTCATCTAGTATTTGAGAATGTGCAGTGGAAGTACTCAAAATACTAGATATAGAACTTTTCTCTTGCTCTGACAAACCTGAGGTTTAGATAAAAAACACAAATCACAAGAAATGTTAATGAACCATAGTCCCATGCTAATGGCGGTTTTCAGGAGACTGTTTGGATTCATTTTTAGCAATTTTTACTTACCGTCAAACAGTTGTATAATATTTTCACTATTTAATTTCACATCTTCTTCAGCAGCAACTCTGGTGGAGTCAAACTCAGTCACATGGTTGTCGTTACCATCACAGACATTCCTATAATTACAAAAAATGGATACATAATTGAAATCCAAGTAAATTGAAGCAGCAAAGTCAAGTCTACAAACATAATGGAGCTGCCTTTCTGCAGAACAAAAAGGAATATAACCAAGTAAATTGAGAAATACCTGACAAGTGAATGCACTGTTGAGACATGTTGGTTGCTCATGGCATTAACAGATTCATGTGTAGTCTGATATACCTCCAAAGCTGTTCCAGCATTGCTTACACTGTACAATAGGAGACAACAAAAGGACCATAGCTAGATTTAACTACATCTCAATCCACATATAGAAAACCAAATTATTATACACGCTATATATATGTGTGTGTGTGTATAAACAAGTACGCATGAGCACACACACATATCTATATAGTGCAAAAGAGAAGGAAATGTATGGTCTTTACCACTCCTGCATGAGACTTTCCATTCGACAATGCTTAGCAGCAGAGAAAGCAGTATTATCTTTAGTGTGATTCCCAGCTTGAGTGAAAAAATCATTCCATTTTCTTTTGGCATCCGCATTAATACCCTCTATAGAGCAAACATGTTCATCTAAAACTGATTTGTTTACACCAACACTGTCTTTGAGACTCAAAAGTCGTTCATCAACCTACAATGTCAGCATAAAAAGAATGAAGGCAGGAAAATGCAATATTGCAACTGGAGTAAACTAAAAAGGTCCATACCAGTTCTCTTTGCCGAAGCATATGATTGGAGACCAGTAAATTCATATCAGCAATTAGCTTCTCTGTGTCTGCCTTTGATTGCTCCTACAAGACCAAGTATATGACAAACTCAAACATTTTAAATTTTGTTAAGCTATGCTGTAATTGTATATGACTTCTGGCATAGTGGTTTAAGAATATACCTCAAATGCCCTTTGAAATTCAGCAATAGACTTTATCTGGTTGTCTTCAAACTTAGTGGCATGGTCTCCAAGACTCTTTGATTTATACTTAATTTTATCAAGGAACCCCTGAATGTCCTCTGAGATCTTCGTCAAATGCTGAGTACTCGTATTAAACCTCTTTAAAAGAAAAAGACGTGCACAAATAATTACTAAATCAAATAACGTTATGAAATGACTAAAATTAAGAGGATAAATGCTCAAGTGGAAATGTGAAAATCTAAAAAGAAGACATTTCATGGAGAAAATATCTAACACTGAGATAAACCTAATAAGCATTGCTCAGAGATATAAATCATCATAGTGTCATACTAACCTGACGAAGTTCTCTGGAGAATTCTGCCATTTCACTTTGTTGGGTTGACAAACTAATATTTAGATCTTTGAAGACTTTGTTAGCTTTCACAGCCTCTGTAGCTAAAAACTACAAAGTAAGGAAGACATAAGAATTTACATTTGTTTAAAATAAAATACTCTCATTAAACAAGCAGAATGGTGTGTTCCTTACTTCACTAATGGACTGTGAATTTGAAGATACCGAATCATCTATATCATCAATAGCAGCATTGGAGCTAGCCTTGTGAAGCTTAACTATATTTTTCATGGCTTCGAAGTGAGAGATATACAACAACTTTGAACCACTGACTTTCTTCTTCACTTCTAAGATAGACTACAATAGAAGATTTGGCAAATTGAAAAAGAAGCTGACAACATGAGTCAAATCTTAAGCATTAAGTCAAAGATAAGAAAAGGGATTAAACAGATAAAAGAACAATGAAACCTGCAAATTACCTTCTCATGTAATTCAAGAAAAGCACGGCAGAATTTTTCTACACCTTTGATCTGTTCATTTTGCTGAGAAATTGATGTGCTCACTGTGCTGGAAAGACAACCAAGTTGATTCCCAAGCTCAGACTGGAAGTCATTTACCACTGACCTGTTATCAGCACTTAGTTTGTCCTCTTTTGCTGCATTGTATCACATTAGGAAGCCAATAATTAGTTATGGGTACATGATAAAAATGAAATTGGAAAGCACAATAGTATGTACCTATTTTTTGAAAAAGTGAGGCATTGTCTTGGAGAGCTTTCTCCAAGTCAGCACGCAAAACACATGCTTGATGAGCAAGTGCATTTTCTGTAAACGTCCAATAAAAGGATTCAAAAATCTTCCGCATCAAGAGAGGACTTCATAACTCAAATTATACTCTAGCGTACCAGCTTTTTTCTGTTCAGATATTATGAAGTCTCGCTCCTTGAGGGCATACTGACATTGCACTAGTTCTTCCTCTGTATTCCCCAGCACTTTACTAGTTTGGTTCAAGTCTTTCTGCAACAACTTCCAAAGTAAGAATCAAACAAGATCTAGAAATTAGTAAAAATTAATAGAACAGTGGACTCACCTGTGTAGCATCTAATTTATTGGTCAGATCAAAGCATCGTTGAATTTCAGCATCATATTTTCCTTGCAAGTCCTCAAATTGCTGTGTGATAACAAAAACCGTTTTGAGATCACTTTAGTGCCCATATTATATCAATTACAATATCATAAACTTTAAAATAAAAATAACGACCTTCTGCTGGTTCTCTAAAGTAATGGTCATCAATTCAATCTGATCTGCCATTGCCTATAAAAAAATAGCTGCCATTATGAAAAATAAAAATACAACAAATATATTCATTTATGCTTTAAATTACATTTTAACTATTACAGATTTGATATTATTATAAGTATATTTTTATTACTTATTATTATTATTATTACAAACTACTCCGTAATACTTATACTAATAGAAATCGTTATTTTAACTATAATGATTATTACTATTACAAAACTGATGCTAATACTACTAATAGTCATTTTTTAATTACGGTTATTTTAACTACTATTGTTATGACAGGAACAGCCAAAGATGCAGTACAAGCAAACTGCAAATTTTGGCATTGGATGTGATTACAATAATCTGAAGTACCTTTCTCTCACTCTCCTCCTGATAATATCGCTCCTTTGGTATGTAGACACCATTCTTTTCACGAGCAGCATAAACCTCTACAAAGAAACAATAGAGTAAAAAGGATAACAATTATTTGGGCAATAATTATAAGTAGAATATAAATAAATAATCTTAATATGAAATACTGATATTACCTGATTTAAGCCGCTCAATTTCCCCATAAAGATCCTTGATAAGAGTTGACTTCATCATTTTTTGGTTTACCTATAAAGGAAGCATAAAAAAACACAGAGAACTGAACAACCTGGCTAGTACATACTGCATAATAATCAATACTATGTGAAGCTGTTTTTTTGGGGTGGGTAAGAGGTGGGGATAAACATTAAACACGAAAAAAATAGTATCAACTTAATCATTGTACATCTATAGATTAATTAACCAATGATCAAGCTAAAAATTAAGATCAACTTTTCTTCTCATAGTTTTCAGCATATAATGTATAAAAATACTCATGTTTTTATTTTTTAGTGAGAGGGCTGCAAATCTGTAATACTGTGGTAGCACAAGAAAACAGGTTTTATATATGAAAATGTTCGATGTAGACAGGACATGGACATAATATGCATATTTTTCAAACCTCAGGCTTATTCTTTATATTTTTTGCCCTGTGAGCATAATCCAGAGTGCTCAGGGTCTCTTCAAGACAATGAACAGCAGGTGACACTGTGGCAATAATGCATGTCTTTGTTCTCCCTCCAAGTGAATCTCGGAGTAGTCTCGTCAGCTTGCTGTCCCTGAGGTGTAACACAGCACTATAAAAAGAGGCCAATACCCATAGAGGAATTAAAATTAAAAAAGAAATTGTTACCATTTGTTTATACCTGTAGGGAACATGCCCCAAGTGTTCCACAAGAGCACTAATTACCCTTCCTAGTGTAAGTAGGCTTTTATTTATCTCTCCAGCTTCTCTTGCACGACCCTGATTCATCCAGAAAATAATTACATGTTACATGAAGGCATGGACAGAATACTAATAGGAAGTGGCGAACAGATTAAAAGAAATTAATACAACGTAAAGATTCATAATACACTTTTAATGCTTTAAGCACTTTACCTCCCTAGCACCAGAACGGGAAATGTTCTCTGACCCAGCCAAATCAACTAAATTCAGCTTGCCACACTTTATAAGTTCTTCGCCTTCAGGAGTTGCTTCCTTGATGTGTATTGTAATTGAGAAAAGGGAGTGTGATCGACTGAAAATTAAATAAAAACTCAACCAAGATACTTGAATACACGTCAAAGATACTGGAGTTTTAACCAAAAGATAACCTTGACTGTTTGTTTAATAGAGTTTCTGCAGTACGGCGCTTTGCTGATCCCCTTTCTATCAAAGTGAATATCTCACTGGCACTGGTGACAATTTCCTCTTCGAGGCCTCTCACAAGTACTCCTCCCTTGCCATCTTCCATTAGTGGCAACTGTTTTTTCTGCCTGTCGTCTAAAGCAACCTTAGATAAGTCCTCAGGAGCTAACAAGTCAGTAATTTCTTCATTGTACAGCTCCAAAAAAGTTACTTTCACACTGTACTCTGCATTTTGACTCTCAAGAGTATCAAAAATTTGTTTCACTGCTCTAGGTATGACTCCTGCCCCAGCAGGTAGATCTCCATTTTGTGAGCTCTGTCTCATAAACCAACACTAAAATCAATGGAATGCTACTTGAGCTACCTAACAATAAAGGTTTCAATTTTTCCAGGAATACCTTTGATCTCTTGCAATCGCCTTCCATAGTGTAAGTTTTGCCCGTGCCAGTTTGACCATAGGCAAATATTGTACAGTTGAAACCCTCTAATACCTCATTCACAATGGGAATAATCGCTTGATCGTAGAGATCTTTTTGCTTAGACGAAGGTCCAAACACCTGCGTTAAGGAATTAGTCAGAAGGCAATAATAATATAAATAAAAGGCAACATTCAATCAAACTTGAAATGAGCTATAAAGATGTTACCTTGTCAAACATAAAAACTCTATCTATATGCTTTCCAGCAATACTTTGTGAAACCGATACCTCCCTCTGGTGATCATTGCACGTCACAACTTGAGGAGCGTTGTTTCTCAACTCATCCTCACTAAATGGCCTACAAAACCAGACGAAAAAGACGAAAACTCAAACCAATATGCCATCATCTTCACACTACGAGTTACAAATTCGATTCAGAAACAAAAGACACATCAAATTAACAATCGTGCAGGTGTGCGTGCTTGCGAGTCACAATACCTGCAGCGAAGAAGAACCTGGACATTTACACCTTTCTCCTTATCAAGCCGAGCAGACATTGTCGCGATGCTCGGATGTGTGCTTCTCGAGAGATGAGTGAGTGCGTTGTGTGGGGAGATGGTATCTGCGCCTCTCTTGTCGGGGGATCTGGAAATTGGGAGCGGGGTGGGAAGAATGGATTTGAATTTTGTGTTGGAGCCGCTCTCAGCCTGGAATGATCTAGCCGTTATTGTTACAAGGGCTCAGATCGACGATGCATATGACGACGTCTGTTCCAGATGGAGCATTATAGCCGAAGGAATTTATGGGCTTTTTATGGACTGGTGTCTGGTGGGCTTGCCTTTTGCCCCTGCGATTATTTTAATTTATTTCGAATTATTGAACCAAAATACTTCCGTTTCAGTTATTTCGAATGACAAAATACGAAACCAAAAAGCTTAAGGGTATGTTTGGTTCAAGGTGATATCTCATAGAGGGCGGAATCTGACGCCCGGAATGTGAGATACCTGTGTTTGGTTTGCGGGTTTGATTTTTTTGGGGGGAATATTACATTCCCAAAAGTGGAAAAGGTGATCACATGAATGGGTATGTGAAACCCACTAGAGCCTTAGGTTATGTTAGATTCCTGGTGGCTAATTAATTTTATTCCAAAAAACCCATGCTTCATTAATCTAATACAAGTTCTTAACTTATGATATACCATTTCTCATTTTGTAATTTTAAAAATTATACCGTATTTTTTTTCATTATAGTTGTTTGAAATTATTTGAACAATTATACTAAAATTGTAAGCTACTATATTTGTTCACTGATCTTTGTCATTTGTGCAATTAAACATATTTAGCTTAAAATTATTTACTAATGCTCACTAATCTTAGTCATTTGTGCAATTAACTATATTTTGCTTAGAATTTATTCAATTAGTTTTTATTTTAATTATTACTAAGATGTTTTATTTTTCTATAGTTTTAATTACTTTAATTATAGGTTGTAATAAGTTTAACGTGTTAAGAGACAAATATTTAAAGGGCATTCAAGATTTCAAGTAATTCACCAAATATGCAATATATGATATCATTCAACCAAACAACTTACCCATAATCGTAACCAAACACAAATGAGATATACATTAATCACATTCCCATCTATCTAACATACCCAGTAATCTAACATTCCCTTGGTAATCTGACATTTCTTGAACCAAACATACCCTAATAGATTCCAAGTGGGTTCCAAGTCACTTACATTACATTCGATCGATACATATCAGTTCAGGTTGATTTGTTTGCTCTTTCAGGGTGTTCGTCTCTAAGCCTAATTACATAGTTTACACTCATAGTGTTTGAAATTTAATTAGTGTCAATTTTGTTTTTCCTATGATTGATTTGGTTCTTTCAATTCGGATAAGTTTTGAATTATTGTTCACTTTTAGTCTCGGGGGTGTTTAGGTTCATCATTCCTCAATAAATCAAATCATACATCACTTTATACATATTCATTCAATCAATTCTATTTTTTCTTGCAATCCATTCCGTAAATATATTAACTACTCTAGTATACATCATTTTTATCGAATTCTGTTTTGTTAATGATTATTATTTGAAAAGACAAACATTCTGATATAAAATAAATAAATTTGGAGTTTAATTTTATGTTGTTACTTCATACATACTTTTGAAGAATAAATAACTGAAAAATGTATAAAAAATATTTAAACCATTAGATCTTAATGTTAACCATTAGATCTGGGCATAAAAATCTCCTAACATATGAAAGTTCATAATTTATTAATATGAGTACAAATATATAGACATATATTGATGTATTTTGTAAAAAAAAATGAGTACAAATAAAAAACTATTACATTTTTTCAAAAAAATATATATTTTCTCTCCATGGGTCCACGCCTTTTTCTCATCCGTAGTCAACAACTCTTCTATTGTTCCTCTTCCACGCCTGCATGTCTCCTTCAGCAGGGTGAATAAGGGTGACAAATCCCCTACCCCAGGATTCCACACGCCCACTTTAAGACCTTGTACATTTTCTTCTACAAGTCGCAACATAATGAAGGGTGAAAACCTCACAATTGACATTTTCCTCTGCCACACCTGCATGTCTTCTTCAACAGGGTGAATAGGGGTGACAAATCCGCCACCCCAAGATCCCACACGTCCACTTTAACACCTTGTACATTTTCTTCTATAAGTTGCAACATAATGAAGGGTGAAAACCTCACAATTGACATTTTTCACTCGGTCTATGATTTGGCGTCTTGGCAAAATCTTTAAACGAAAATAAAAAAAATTAGAATTTGACGACCGAAAGTGCAAAGAAGAGAAAAAGATGAGAAATATGAGGCCTAACCTGAAGTGACTGTAATAATATGGGGCTGAACGACAAACTTGGACAAACTTTTCTCTCGAGCTCTGTTAGCAATATCAACAAACAACATGAGCTCTAAAGTTTCAAATACAAGAAAGCCTAAAGATAGGAAGGGAAGAACCATAAGCCTTTGCACCTTTCTAAGTGGGCAGCGAACAACCCACAAACTCCACACATGGAGGCTTGCGATAAGGGCGAGAGCCGATGTTAGGTGGGCGACAATATTGCCCCGTTGATGTCATGTGCACACATGTAAATGAAGAATTTCAAGTCATCAAGCCATCCCAATTAATGGTGGGACGGCTATTAAATAGTTATCACCCCACATTAATTCAAAATTCAAACCATGTTTTAACTTCAGCCAAAAAACTAACACTTGGAGAAGCTTCTGAGTGTTGAAACTCTAGCCGAGGAGGTCTCTTTACCACCCAAGATATTTTAAAGAGACGCCACCTCATTGTGAGGAAGTATTGGAGCATCTTTCTACATGGCGGTGCGCGGTGCACAACAAGGATAATCCAAATTGCACGAGCTTAATATAATCTCTCTCACCTTCAAGTTTTCTCGCTTCAGCGAGTGGAGGGGTTCATGATGGAGTGTATGTCATACACCACAGGGGTCTAGAGATAGTTGATTCAAAAATGCACCCCAGTTCGACCACATAGTGGGACGAGGTCAAGCGCAGAGGCCAGTAGTATACTCAAAGCTCAACTCCCTTGTTGGTAAGCCGGTTCTGTCTTTGGCCGAGTCTCATCACAGCGAGGCCCATCTTGATTACCATTGACCGAGATCCAATACTAATGTCACCGTTCGAAGGAGAGACTGAGAGGAGTTTGAACCGCCTCGACTCAGTTACAATTCTACACTAAACCGCTATCTCAATCGTACCAGTCACACAACTCCAAGGCTTATGCCACAGTCGCAATCGCTAACATCATTGTGCAATTCTCAAGGCCCGACAACACTGCTAGCACCACAGTCGGGTCCATCAACATGACACGTAGATTGATACCACCATGCATGCTCCCTAAGGATAACAGTTGCCATCTTCGTAGTAACTAGTATTTCAGGCTTAAAGCCCAAACCTTGTACTTTTGTACTTTTGCCTATAAATAGCACATTTTCCTTTGAGAAAGAGGATGCACAAATTATTGCAATATTATCCTATAAAATTCAGAAATGTTACTTATACATGTTGCTTTACACGTTCGTTACATGCCAAGTGTATTTTGTATGTGCACAAACAATAGATTTTCATTTTTAGTAAATGGAACTGTCTATGATCATGAACTGTTAATGCACAAACAATTCAATTTTTCGGGATCACAGAATATTCCCTTCACTAAAGTGAAAATTAATTGATTGTGCACAGACAAAATACACTCGGCGTGTGAACGGGTGTGTAAGCCGACGTGTACAAGTAGTATTTTTGTACAAAATTTATTGTACAACTTTCTCGCGTTAGAAGTGCTCCAACTTCTCTCTAGATTTATGCCAAATTTATTGTAGTGGCAAACTGTTATTATTATGACAAAAAATGAAAGAGAATAAAATGTATAATGTAAGGATTATTGAGTGTTTTTAACAAAAAGCTTACCAAAAAAGGAAAGTTTGCAAAATTGAACTACTGCAAAAAAGAAATGTGCAACAAATAAAAGAATACAGAGGGAGTATGACATGAAAAATTTATCCTGACGCGCCGGCTCCGATCCTATTATGTATACCATGCCCACCCTACGCCGGACCTGGTTAAGATTCTCGTATAGAATTGATTGACCGATTTTGGCACTAGAATTAATCTATATTTGGACTGTTCTCCGTGTGATATGGTCTCAAAATTATAACCATATCCACTTCTACATGTTGTTGTATCACCGGGCACACCATTTCTCTAACAGAAAGATTAAAATGAGCTCTCCAAATCTGGAGATATGAAAGATATTATAATCATCCAATGTTATAGGGGCATTCACATTAAATTTAAACAACTAACTATCGTCAATCAACTAATAACTAGTTACCAAACAATGCAAAACACATGCAAAGAACTTTAAGAGGACATACCGACAACGCGCATCTTCTTTTAATGTCTTTGTGCAAGAAATTTCATGTAAAGTTTGGGAGAGTGTATTCAAGCAAGGACAATATATGTTGTAAGACGTATTCGCTCGTGACCGTAGTATTGATTGTAAAATGGTAAATATTATTTATGAGTAATTACCTTGGACTCATCGGACGAGGGTGACGTTATATAATGCATCATAACCATGATAGTTGGGCTTGGTAAATTATAAATCCATATAGGTGTGACAAATACACATTAATCAATTGTGAAAGAACACGTACTCTTTAAGGAAAGTAAATAAATTATATGAGATTGAGTCCTCCTTACATTCGAAAAGTGTAGCGAACTTTTAACTGCATTCGAAAAATGAAAATTTTAAAAACATTGAAATACGGATGGAATACTGAACTTACACGTTGTCAATATTTAATTTATTGATTGATAATCCTAAACTTAATCACTTTTTATGTGGTAAAACCATAGGAGGAAAAGCTCCTACCTTTCATTAATGATCAAATGAGGTTGAGAGACCCCAAGTAAGTCATACAAAATGTGAAACGATAACATAGGATGGACATTAGAAATAGAATGAACACTAATAGGTAATATATGGCCTAAGCCAACTAAAAAGTTTGTGGCCCGGTTTTCCTCGCGGTAAATATGCTCAAATTCAACTGTCCAATTTTGATCTAACAGTTCGCAAAATTGTGCGACCTCAGAAGAGCGTTGGTGTTTACTCTCACCTTCTGCCATCAAAAGATGATCCACTGCCTGTAAGTCCAGCTGCACTTGTACCTGGCGGTATCCAAACTCCCAAAC